ATTATGTGATTTTCTTTTGTTTGATGGACGATATCAGTCAAAGTAAGAAGACTGTGATCAGCAGCACATGCTAATAAAATCAGTCACACGCTGCAGCTACCTGATGTCAGACAGAAACTGTGGAAAAATATTTGTTTTCATACTCCTCAGTGGACGATAGACTCCCCACTGCTGTTTATTATCTGTTTTGAGTCTGTGAGGCTGTTAGTCACTTTATTTTCAGTAATGACACGCTGAGCTGCAGATTTGTTTCGCTGCTGCAAAACACCAGAGCAGATACACAGCGTCAAATCGAGTACGGCTGGATTTTAATAAGCAAAATGAAAAATACACAACAGCAGTGATGAGCAGCTGAAAAACAGATGAACGCAGCCAGAGGAGCAGACACATAACAAGCTTTTCATAAAGCTGTTCAATATCACCACACCTGCAGAGATCTGCACAATAGGGCTGTTCGATATGACAATATATATCGGATGATGATATGAAAACATCTATCAGTTCATATTAAACGCTATCGATTGTTTCGTGGTGTTACAAAATAAACTGTTTACAGCACTATTTGTTCATGGTTTTGACTGTAGTGGCTGATTAAAGTTCTCTTTTTCTCTTATATTTAATAAAACCACACCACGGACGGACAAGTGACTCTTTTTATGCGCTGTCGATAGCAACAACGACGGTAAAACCATTGTGTGGCTCCACCGTCCTCTTGTTTATTTTCCACATAAACCTTTCACAATAAAGCTCACGATCCTGTTAAGATTTTCCAAATAAACTGAAATGGTGACAAACAGAAGGACCAGTCGAAACAAATCGAGGACCTTATTCCTAAACGAGGGAGCATGGACATGGTTTGTTTATGAAAAGTCTGACACAGACCAGAAAACTGAGCTAATTATGGTGCAAACTGGCGTCAGACTCAAACACGACAACCCTCTTGTTCCACCTGTGAAAGAAAAAAACTCGACTCCAGGTAAACGACGCCCAGCTGAAAACACTTCACATGAGTTGAGCTGGCCGAGATTCAGTGAATTAGCAGAAAATGTCAAATTCTTGTGATATATATCGTTGTCAGGACGATAAATGTCTTATATCGGGATATGAGCTTTTGGTCATATCGCCCTACTGCACAATCAGAACCTGAACTTGCGATGGTATCACAACCAGATCCTGTTATCAATAGATTATACGATCATCTTATTTAATTTACTCTGACTGCAGACAGGAAACACACAGCATTGTAAACAGGAAGTAGCTTTACCACGTGATCCATATACAGCTTATGAAATTAGCGAAAGCAGCAATTGTGACTCCACCAACACACTAATTACACAATGAGGATCAAATCAGACTCACCCGATGGAGGAAGAGCTGTGGGGAGAGGAGACAAAGACAGCAGGTGTAGTGGGAGCGAGGAGGAAGACGAGTCTTCAGGTTCAACATCTCTTGTCTTTGTGTTGTCTCTCCTGATGTGATCTGCACACAGAAGAAGAAATGGATGCTTCTGATCTTCTTCAGTGTGCTGAAGAATATTTCACGAAGCCTAAAACCTGAGTGTCCACATGTCTTCTGCTCTTTCTGCTGAGTAAAAATAGATTTTATTCAAGCTCAACAGGAACAGCTGAGAAGAGTTTGTATGTATGAGTTCAAATACTGAACTGATTTCCAATGAATATAAAAGAGGGTTGACAGTGAGGGTGTAAGCTGTCACTTCAGATTAAACATCCATC